TAATGATAATCATAACACCTCATCTCAGAGATATAGAGGCCAAAACGTTGTAAATATGGCAATGAAGATGAATAACAGTCCGAATAACGTAAATAATGTAAGTAATCATAACACCTCATCTCAGAGATATAGAGGCCAAAACGTTGTAAATATGGCAATGAAGATGACGATAACAGTCCGAATAACGTAAATAATGTAAGTAATCATAACACCTCATCTCAGAGATATAATCATCTCAGAGGCCAAAACGTTGTAAATATGGCAATGAAGATGACGATAACAGTCCGAATAACGTAAATAATGTAAGTAATCATAATACCTCATCTCAGAGATATAGAGGCCAAAACGTTGTAAATATGGCAATGAAGATGACGATAACAGTCCGAATAACGTAAATAATGTAAGTAATCATAACACCTCATCTCAGAGATATAGAGGCCAAAACGTTGTAAATATGGCAATGAAGATGACGATAACAGTCCGAATAACGTAAATAATGTAAGTAATCATAATACCTCATCTCAGAGATATAAAGGCCAAAACGTTGTAAATATGGCAATGAAGATGACGATAACAGTCCGAATAACGTAAATAATGTAAGTAATCATAACACCTCATCTCAGAGATATAGAGGCCAAAACGTTGTAAATATGGCAATGAAGATGACGATAACAGTCCGAATAACGTAAATAATGTAAGTAATCATAACACCTCATCTCAGAGATATAGAGGCCAAAACGTTGTAAATATGGCAATGAAGATGACGATAACAGTCCGAATAACGTAAATGAAATAGTCGAAGAATAACGTAATCATAACACCTCATCTCAGAGATATAGAGGCCAAAACGTTGTAAATATGGCAATGAAGATGACGATAACAGTCCGAATAACGATAAATACACCTCATCTCAGAGATATAGAGGCCAAAACGTTGTAAATATGGCAATGAAGATGACGATAACAGTCCGAATAACGTAAATAATGTAAATAATCATAACACCTCATCTCAGAGATATAAAGGTAAAAATGAAGTTGTAAATATGGCAATGAAGATGACGATAACAGTCCGAATAACGTCCGAAAATAATGTAAGTAATCATAAACCTCATCTCAGAGATATAGAGGCCAAAACGTTGTAAATATGGCAATGAAGATGACGATAACAGTCCGAATAACGTAAATAATGTAAGTAATCATAATACCTCATCTCAGAGATATAGAGGCCAAAAACGTTGTAAATATGGCAATGAAGATGACGATAACAGTCCGAATAACGTAAATAATGTAAGTAATCATAATACCTCATCTCAGTTGTAAATATAAAGCCAAAAAATATGGCAATGAAGATGGCCAAACAGTCCGAATAACGTAAATAATGTAAAAGTAATCATAACACCTCATCTCAGAGATATAGAGGCCAAAACGTTGTAAATATGGCAATGAAGATGACGATAACAGTCCGAATAACGTAAATAATGTAAGTAATCATAATACCTCATCTCAGAGATATAAAGGCCAAAACGTTGTAAATATGGCAATGAAGATGACGATAACAGTCCGAATAACGTAAATAAATAATGACGATAAAGTAATAACGTAAATAATAATCATAACACCTCATCTCAGAGATATAGAGGCCAAAACGTTTGTAAATATGGCAATGAAGATGACGATAACAGTCCGAATAACGTAAATAGATATGCCAAAACGTTGTAAATATGGCAATGAAGATGAATAACAGTCCGAATCATCATCTCAGAGATATAGAGGCCAAAACGTTGTAAATATGGCAATGAAGATGACGATAACAGTCCGAATAACGTAAATAATGTAAGTAATCATAACACCTCATCTCAGAGATATAGAGGCCAAAACGTTGTAAATATGGCAATGAAGATGACGATAACAGTCCGAATAACGTAATCTCGATATAAGGCCAAAACGTTGTAAAAGCAATGAAATCGATAACAGTCCGAATAACGTAAATAATGTAAGTAATATAGAGATATAGAGGCCAAAACGTTGTAAATATCAATGAAGATGACGATAACAGTCCGAATAACGTAAATAATGTAAGTAAATCATAATACCTCATCTCAGAATATAAAGGCCAAAACGTTGTAAATATGGCAATGAAGATGACGATAACAGTCCGAATAACGTAAGTAATCATAATACCTCATCTCAGAGATATAGAGGCCAAAAACGTTGTAAATATGGCAATGAAGATGACGATAACAGTCCGAATAACGTAAATAATGTAAGTAATCATATCATCATCTCAGAGATATAGAGGCCAAAACGTTGTAAATATGGCAATGAAGATGACGATAACAGTCCGAATAACGTAAATAATGTAAGTAATCATAACACCTCATCTCAGAGATATAGAGGCCAAAACGTTGTAAATATGGCAATGAAGATGACGATAACAGTCCGAATAACGTAAATAATGTAAAAATAATACCTCATCTCAGAGATATAAGGCCAAAACGTTGTAAATATGGCAATGAAGATGACGATAACAGTCAAGATATAGAGGCCAAACGTTGTAAATATGGCAATGAAGATGACGATAACAGTCGATCGAATAACGTAAATAATGTAAGTAATCATCTAACACCCTCATCTAACAGAATAAGTAAATATAAAGGCCAAAACGTTGTAAATATGGCAATGAAGATGACGATAACAGTCCGAATAACGTAAATAATGTAAGTAATCAATAACACCTCATCTCAGAGATATAGAGGCCAAAACGTTGTAAATATGGCAATGAAGATGACGATAACAGTCCGAATAACGTAAATAATGTAAGTAATCATAACACCTCATCTCAGAGATATAGAGGCCAAAACGTTGTAAATATGGCAATGAAGATGACGATAACAGTCCGAATAACGTAAATAATGTAAGTAATCATAACACCTCATCTCAGAGATATAGAGGCCAAAACGTTGTAAATATGGCAATGAAGATGACGATAACAGTCCGAATAACGTAAATTGTAATCATAATATCATCTAATAAAGGCCAAAATAAAATAGAGAAGATGACGATAAGAGTCCGAAAACGTGTGTAATCATAAACCTCATCTCAGAGAAATGAAGATGACGATAACAGTCCGAATAACGTAAATAATGTAAGTAATCATAACACCTCATCTCAGGCCAAAAGATATATGAGGCCAAAACGTAAATTGTAAATATGGTTGTAAAATGGAAGATGAGTCCGAATAACGTAAATAAGTAATCATAACACCTCATCTCAGAGATATAAAGGCCAAAACGTTGTAAATATGGCAATGAAGAAGTAATAACGTAAATAGAGGCCAAAACGTTGTAAATGCAAAAGATAATAACAGTAACACCTCATCTCAGAGATATAGAGGCCAAAAACGTTGTAAATATGGCAATGAAGATGACGAATAACGTAAATAAGTCGAATAACGTAAATAATGATAACAGTCCGAATAATAAATAATGTAAATAACATAACCTCATCTCAGAGATATAGAGGCCAAAACGTTGTAAATATGGCAATGAAGATGACGATAACAGTCCGAATAACGTAAATAATGTAAGTAATCATAACACCTCATCTCAGAGATATAGAGGCCAAAACGTTGTAAATATGGCAATGAAGATGACGATAACAGTCCGAATAACGTAAATAATGTAAGTAATCATAACACCTCATCTCAGAGATATAGAGGCCAAAACGTTGTAAATATGGCAATGAAGATGACGATAACAGTCCGAATAACGTAAATAATGTAAGTAATCATAACACCTCATCTCAGAGATATAGAGGCCAAAACGTTGTAAATATGGCAATGAAGATGACGATAACAGTCCGAATAACGTAAATAATGTAAGTAATCATAATACCTCATCTCAGAGATATAAAGGCCAAAACGTTGTAAATATGGCAATGAAGATGACGATAACAGTCCGAATAACGTAAATAATGTAAGTAATCATAACACCTCATCTCAGAGATATAGAGGCCAAAACGTTGTAAATATGGCAATGAAGATGACGATAACAGTCCGAATAACGTAAATAATGGTAATCATAACACCTCATCTCAGAGATATAGAGGCCAAAACGTTGTAAATATGGCAATGAAGATGACGATAACAGTCCGAATAACGTAAATAATGTAAGTAATCATAACACCTCATCTCAGAGATATAAAGGCCAAAACGTTGTAAATATGGCAATGAAGATGACGATAACAGTCCGAATAACGTAAATAATGTAAGTAATCATAACACCTCATCTCAGAGATATAAAGGCCAAAACGTTGTAAATATGGCAATGAAGATGACGATAACAGTCCGAATAACGTAAATAATGTAAGTAATCATCTAATACCTCATCTCAGAGATATAGAGGCCAAAACGCTGTAAATATGGCAAAATGAAGATGACGATAACAGTCCGAATAACGTAAATAATGTAAGTAATCATAATACCTCATCTCAGAGATATAAAGGCCAAAACGTTGTAAATATGGCAATGAAGATGACGATAACAGTCCGAATAACGTAAATAATGTAAGTAATCATAACACCTCATCTCAGAGATATAGAGGCCGAAACGTTGTGAATATGGCAATGAATATGACGATAACAGTCCGAATAATGTAAATAATGTATGTAATCATAATACCTCATCTCTGAGATATAGACAGATATAAATATTGAAATAGCCCTCTCACTATCTCAACATTCATCTGCAAACATATTTGTGTTCGGTGATTTTAATACTAATCATTTTTTGTACCTTGTTAATTGTTATGGTAATATTAGCCGTTCCCCTACAAGAAAACATTTGCCATTCATTGACCGAGCAGCCAGTACTACTTTCGGTTAAGATTTATTAAAACAATTTTTCACCGAAGTTAAACAACGACGTGTCTGGTCAATACTTCGATGGGTGACCACTTCGGAATACCAGGTGTGGTAAACTTGGATGTCCGGGTAGAAATGATTTACAGCCATATCATGTTGAAACACCAGTTGCTCTCCGATCACCGAAGTTAAGCAACGTCAAGCCTGGTCAGTACCTAGATGGGTGACCACTTGGGAATACCAGGTACTGTAAGTTTGGATTATGTGGCTGGTGTAATGGATAAAGGCCTATGGCACCTTGCATTTATTGGAAATATTCATAGAAATATGAGTTAATTTTTTCTTATTCAGTTTATTAAACAGGTTGTTAATTTTTTTTTAAAAACGGAAAATAACTGAGTTGAAAATAATTCACTAAGAATGTACTAGACGATCCTAAGGGAAGAAGAAGGAAAAGAAAAAAAAAGAAAGAAAAAGAAATGTATGACGCATGACCCAGTTGATGGTAGAGATAGGTCTGCGTGTGGTCGACTTTATTTTTTTTTAAAACAAAGGGAAGAATAGAATTGGAAATAATAAAAAGAAAGAAAGGGGAAAAGACATGATATCGACCAGATGTCGGTCAGAGGCCTCTGACCGACTCTTGCTTGCAGAAAACCCTTATCAATTTGGAGTGAAGAGAATTTTTATTTTTTTCTTTTGAACAATAGAAACGAAATTTGTGATCTGAGAGAAAGTGTCTTTGGGTTGGGGAAGTGACTGGTGAAAACGATATACGGAATTGACCTGTTAAGAATTGGACACCCACGTTAAGAAAGTAGAGATATTTCGACCTAGATAATTAAGATTTTCGACTATCAGGAAAAACAAAGAGGTAAAAAAGAAGAGCAATTGTTTTGGACCACAGAGGGCGCCAAGAAGGCGGAAAAGATCCTTTTCTAAAGTCAAGACTAATTAGCAGCGGGCTGTTTGACAAAGTCCAGGTGAAAGAAAGCTAAAGATTGTCATTTTGCGTACGTGCAAAAAGGGGCAAAATTGGATTTTGTTTTTTTTAAACAAGAACGATGTAACCACGCCCGCAAACAGAGGGGAGAGGATGTTCGGTCAATAACAATTGGTCGAATACAATCACGTGACCGCGGAAGAAGAAGGAAAGAAAACCTCGATCAATAACTGTTGGACGAGGCGGTCACGTGGGCTGCGGAAAAGAAGAGAAAGAAAGGTTCGATCGGGAACGATTGGTTGAGAGCGATCACCTGACATGAGAGAGAGACTAAGAGAAATAGATATGCGCCGCCCCACCAAGAGCTCTGTGAGAAAGTAGGGGTGAAAACAATAACGATAATGGAAAGTCAAAATTAATACGACTTTTGGAATTATCGAGAAAACCCTGACGCCGACAGACCCACCCCAGTTTGTTGCGGCGTCAATATAAGCAGGACCCCAGTCGACAGAAATCAGTTTGAGTTGGAGATGCAGCCGGAGTTGGGCTGAGTTGCAGCAGGACCGCGGGCAGGGGAAGATCCTGAACGCGGACATAAGACCCGATTCACTCGCCCCTTTGCGGGCAAAAAGAACCCTCAGACAGAAGGACTTCCAGCCCAAGTCGAAGACAGAAGAACTTCCAGCCCAAGTAGATGAAGAAGAAGATTGCCTGAAAACCTGAGAAGAGTTGGAGCTGAAGTTGAGTTGAAGTTGGAGTTAGGTTGGGCGTGAGTTGCAGTTCACCCTCGGACGACAGAAGAATCCTCGAAACAAGAAATCCTTCCAGCCCAAGTTGAAGACAAGAAATCTTCCACCGAATTGAAGCAAGAAATCTTCCACCGAATTGAAGCAAGAAATCTTCCACTGAATCGAAGCAAGAAATCTTCCACTGAATCGAAGCAAGAAATCTTCCACTGGGTTGAAACAAGAAATCTACCAGTCTAAACAGAAGAAGAAGAAGAAATACAACTCAAGTCGGAGAGAAGAATCAACTGCGAATGATCGATAGAAATTAGCCCCAGTGTCGAACTGAACCACACTCCGACATACATACATGATTCTAGAAAGTAGGTAATTCGACATTTTCCTATTGTGTGATAGAAGCTTGGTGCCATAGTCCACAGAGCGGGTCGGGGAATTGAGAACAATTTTGTTTTTATGTAACGGACTTTAAGATATAAAAGGTTGTTACCCTTTTTATCAACAATTTTGTTTGGTGTCGTGAGTTTTATTTTATTTGTGTTTTGCCACCCCGTCGGACTCAACTTGTATCGGCCCCGATCCCTGCTGGTCCCGTCTGTCTAAGATCTAAACACAGCGTGGGTAGACAGACCGGAGATCGGTATAGTTGCTTTAGTGACCAGGTATTGGAAGCGAGTCGGGAAAGGCGAGGCTGGTGATCATCTGACCAAAGGGTTGGAGCGGCACGCTTGGACCCAGGAGGAACGACCAGGAGGAGCGACGTCACCGTTGGCGCCGTAACCAAAGGATCCGACACTGGGCCAGGTGTGTAACCGTCACAAGTGGTGCCGCGACCAGGATCAACCCTGAGACAGCCACGTCACAAGTGGTGCCGTGACCAACGGATCAACCCTGAGACAACCACGTCACAAGTGGTGCCGTGACCAACGGATCAACCCTGAGACAACCACGTCACATATGGTGCCGTGGTGACCGAGGGATTTCAACCCTGAGAAGACCACGATCGACCGCCGTTGCTGAAAGTTCAAGCAGAAATCAGAACGACCCGGGACCAAAGGAAAAGAAGGAACAGAATCGTCTGTAAGGTAGGACACCTTGTTTATTTCCCTACCTCGATTGTTGCTCTCTGTAGACATGTCAGATTATGAGTCAGATGGAGCAGTGGGGGTGAAGAAGAAGTAGGGCGGGGTTGTCAGTAGATTTAAAGGGGGCTGTTGGGTGGACCGAGGGTCCCAGTGTTTGATGGTAGTGGGAAGGAGTTCAGGAACTGGCTGACAATCCTCGAAAAGAGCCGAACCATCTACGAGCTCTCGGACCAAGAAACCCTGTACCTGGCATACGATGCCACAAAGGGAAAAGCGTCGGAGTTCGTAAGGGGACTCTTGGAAAGTCATCCCCGCTTGGCCTGGGAAGAAGTAAAAAAACTGCTGACCAAAGAATTCGCCGACGAAGGTACGGCCATAGAGGCCATGAGGGCCCTTTTAAAACTAACACAGCTTCGGGAGGAGACCCCGGGAGAATTGGGGGCCCGAGCGGGAAGGCTATCGTCATTAGCATTCCCCGAGGTGGTCAGGGACAACGCAGTCATGCAGGCCCAACTGGCGGACCTGTATGTGGAAGCTCTGAGTGATGAGCGTGTTCGGCACGACGTCCTGAAAGAGGGACCGCTCAGACTGTCGGCAGCGATAGAGCTGGCCAGAGAGAGCCAGGGGGTATGGGATAAGGTGAAGAGGTGTGGGAAGAAGCAGACACCAAGTCAGGAGGCTGGAAGAAGGGGGGTAGGCGGAAGAACCCCCGTGTGGAATCAGAGGGTTAAGGAAGAGGTGGATCGGGCAGAATTATGGGAGGAGGACCCCAATAGAAGGGCATGGTCGACCAGGCATGGCCTTTATAAGCCCACGCCGGGTCGATATGGGCTGGTCTGCTGGACCTGTGGGTACGAGGACCACAGGGCGGCGGAATGTCCGACGAAGTGGGGGTTGCCCCCAGACTTCGATCGTGACAGGTGCACCAGGTGTGGTAAGAAAGGACACCTGGCCAAGTGGTGCGGGCTGAGGAAGGGTGCCCCACCAATATTAACAAGGAAGGCCGAGCCCAAGAAAAGCCAGAGGGCCACCCCAGAATTAAGAGGGAGGGTGGCCCAGTTAAAAAGGAGAGAAATAAAGGCTTGGACCAGTGGGTGGGCGAACCGCTTGGATAGGGGACGGGTTACCCCGAGGATAGACACAAGGCCAACCCAGTTAAAAAAGAAAGAGCAAGATGTTGGACATGTGGTCGGATGGGCCACTTTGCGGCAAGCTGTCCGACAAGAAGGTGCTGGCTTTGCAGGAGGCCAGGACACCTGAGAAGAAACTGTATTCTTAGAAACGGCCACGAGAGACCGAGAGAGGTCCGGCCGGGGTCACCCAGGTGCAGGGGGCGCAGAACTCCACCTCATAAAAGAAATGAAGATGAATTATTATTACCGGCGCCTATGGCTGGGTTAACCCAAAGGTGGGGACCCAGGAAGAAGAAAGCCCAGGTGTTCTCTTCGCTAACGCAAGAGAGAGAACTATCCTGTAAAGCAGAGATAGGTGGTAGAGAGATGAGGGCCTTAGTGGACACAGGAGCATCTGTGTCATTGATGAGAGAAGAGATATACAGGCGGGTGAAACGGAAGAGAAGGTTACGAGAAGCGGACATAGAGATCACGCAAGCAGACGGGGCCCCCCTGGAGATAGGGGGGATGGTGAGGCTCCCGGTGAGGATTGGGAGGGTGAAAAGCACCCAAAATTTTTATGTAACCCCCGACCTGTGTACAGAGGCAATCTTGGGAGAAGATTGGCTCCGGAGCCAGAAGGCCCAGATCGAGTTTAATCCTACTGTGTTGGTGGTGAACGGCGAGAGAACGCCATTGGGATGCCCACCAGAGGAAGAGATAACCATAGTGGTGGAGGAAGATGTAAAGTTACCTCCTAGGGACCGCAGTGTCGGGAAAGGGTAGGCTAATGTCAGAAAAAAAAGGTACGGAGAGGACCTCTGCAGTTGGTCCCTGTAGAAGAAAAGGGCCTAGAAGATAACGAGGTAACCCTGTGCGAAACGGTAGTGGAGGCAGCCGAGTTGGTGCCCATAATGATGGTGAACCAGGCCCAAAAAGACAATAAAAAAAGGTTAGGAGAGGGGAGAAGATAGGAAGAGCACTTCCCCTACGAACTCTGAATCGGGTGAGATTCGAGGAGGAACGAAGGAAGCTAGTAGAGCAAACAAAAGGAATCTTAGATGAGGATATATTAGCACCGGATCAATTTAGAACCAGAGTGGGGGGTCTGTTAAGGAACAATCGAGATGTGGTGGCCCAGTCAGACAAGGAGCTAGGTCAGACCCACACAGTCGAAATGAAAATCGACACCGGAGACCACCCCCTGTGAAATTAAAACCCTACCGAACACCTATACATAAAAAGACCCCTTGTAGAAGAGGCAGTAGAGGAAATGTTGGAAGCTGGGATGATCGAAAGATCGATCTCTCCTTGGAGCTTCCCAATAGTAATAGTAGGTAAGAAAGATGGCGGCCACCGTTTCTGTGTGG